CCTTCTGGCACCTCCTCCTGTCCTTCTCCGCCACCTTGGAGGGCGTTTTGGAACCCTGGTTCTTCTGGTTCCTAGTCATAGCCCTTCTGGCCGCCGCTCTAAATCCTGGAGTGCTGGAACTAGCACAGCTGCCACCAACTATTACACTCCTGGATAACAGGTGCATTTAAGGAGGGTAAAATGGCGTAATATAAGGATTATTCAATGAGGTGATTAGCACACCTGGAGAGTTTGCACCGAGCTACGAGCAGTGACTCCTTATAAAAAGAGCGCCATATCAGTGAATCACTATATCAATTTATATGTTTTTCGTGTGTGTGTGTGTGTGTGTGTGTGTGTGTGTGAAGCCCCCTTGAGCCAATAAAAATATTCCTTTAGGCCTAAGGGGTTGACACTGACCTATCCAGGTAGATGCCTGGACTTTGGCAGCTTTAATTGTGCAGGCTCAAGGCCTAAGCACTAACTGCTATACTGCTTTGGACGCCTAATGTGGGGCTATGCCAACCTTATGCCTTACTTGCTCCATCGTGTACGCAAAAGTTTCGTTCCAAACACCACAGTCAGGCTGTCAGAGACAGGCCTGCAATGGGATAATGCCCCAACAGTTGTAATTTCAGGAATGGTCTCTGAGGTAACGGCTGCTGTGTTTCCTTGGTGTCAAAAACTCCACTTTAAAATGACGCCAGCCATTATTTCTGGCGCAAATTTAATCGCGGCTTCGGCTGAGGAAAAAACCTACATTAATCTGTTTCCCTTGTAATAGCTGAGGAGAGGGGACGCTTTAATGTGCTCCACTCTAGGTCAGGTCTGTGAGGGAGCTTTACTTCCGAAATGTGAAAGAGGAGACTTTTGCGGCAGGCGCGAGGCTCCGCTTAGCGCACCACTCACTATCTCCGACTGCCAGCTGATTTTAATTACAAAGCGGCATCAGAGCTCCTCTTTTTTTCTGTTATTATTCTGAGCAGCCAGAGGCTGTGATCTCACCGAGTTTTGTCCTTTTTTTTGAAGATTGAAGAAAGTAGATGTTCTTTATTTCAGCTGTGAGTCTTCCTGGCTGAGAGAAAAAGCTCCTAGCTGATCTGCCAACATCTAGAAACAAGTAAAGTAATAACTAGCAGTCAGCACGGGTTTGTTAAGAACAGATCATGCCAAACCAATCTTATTTCATTCTTCAACACAGTGACTAAATTAGTAGACCAGCAAAATATTGTGGTCATAATATATTTAAATTTCAGCAAGGCATTCGACAAAGTAGACCACAACCTACTTCTTAGTAAGCTAGAAAAAATTGGAATAGATAGCACCACCACTAGATGGACTCGCAACTGGCTGGCAAACCATACTCAACGAGTAGTCCCTAATGGGTCTAAGTCTACATGGAGGGAAGTAAGCAGTAGGGTGCCACAAGGTTCCGTCTTAGGCCCAGTACTCTTCAATATCTTCATTAACAACTTAGGTGAGGGAATAGAAGGGGAACTTACCAAATTTGCAGATGATACTAAGCTGGCAGGAATAGCTAACACCCAAGAAGATAGGCTCAAGATCCAGATGGATCTTGACAGACTAGAACACTGGACTATATCCAACAAAATGAAATTCAATGTAGAGAAAAGTAAAGTCCTACACTTAGGCAAGAAAAACCAAAAGTACACATATAGCCTGGGTGAAACCAGGCTCAATAGCAGTAACTGTGAGAGGGATCTTGGAGTCTTAGTGGACAACCAGCTAAATATGAGCCAGCAGTGTGCAGCAGCAACCAAAAAAGCTAATGCAATCCTAAATTGTATTAACAGAGGGATACAATCAAGATCAAGGGAAGTACTAATACCACTTTATAAAGCCTTAGTAAGAGTACTGCATCCAGTTTTGTTCACCACATTATAAAAAAGACGTTGAGACTCTAGAAAAAGTACAGAGAAGAGCAACCAGGATGATTAGGGGACTGGAGGCTAAAACATACAATGAAGGGTTGCAGGAACTGGGCTTGGCTAGTCTAGTAAAGAGAAGGACCAGGGGAGACATGATAGTAGTCTCTTCTATTTGAGGGGCTGCCACAGGGAGGAAGGGGTCAAGCTATTTTCTAAAGTGCCTGTAGGCCAGACAAGGAATAAGGCATGGAAACTGAACAAGGAGAGATTTAACCTGGAAATAAGGAGAAACTTTCTGACAGTGAGAACAATCAACCAATGGAACAGCTTGCCCTCGGAAGTTGTGGGAGCACCATCACTTAAGACTTTCAAGAAGAGATTGGACTGCCATTTGTCAGAAATGGTGTAGGGTCTCCCGCTTGGGCGGCGGGGGGTTGGACTAGATGACCTACAAGGTCCCTTCCAATTCTGATTATCTGTTATCTGTTATCTGAACACAGGCTGAGCTAAAACTGGGGACACAAGGAGGAGTGTCTTCAGAAATCAGCTCAGCCTATCGAACAACAGACAGAAGCACCTCCCATGCCTGGATGCTCATCAGGAGAAAGTAAAGATAACAAATATGAGCAACCCATCAAGATAACACCAAGCAATTATCTTGTTCTATCATATATATCCGAAGTTTCATTTCTTTTGGCTTATAAACTTTACAAAAAATAGCACATAGCAAAGCATACAATTTTGTTAGTATTAGTTTTGTCCCTGAACACAAACTAATGTTTGCCTATCATTTATCATGTTATTATGATAAATGCATGTTTGCATATCATCTAAAAAAGATCAGTATGAATGGATATATCAAAAGAATTAAAAAGTCTATGAACAAAAAACCTAAAGCTTATTTTTGTTTGATTGCTGCCATCAAAGTGATTCTTGACTTTTGAAAATTGCTTGGAGTAATTATTAGAATTTTTTATCAAGAATTTTTGGAAGTTGTTTGACACTACTTGTTTCCTATGATTAAGAGTGCAGTGCTGATCCAAGAATCTCCCAGTTGCTTCATGTCCAAGATAGGAATAGAACACATGTTCTCTCAGTTTCTAATCTAGTGCTTTTAACCTCTACATAAAACATGCTCTTATTAGAGCATGCATACTATAAAATATTAAAATTTCATCTGGATTTTATTTCAATTAAACATATATATATATTAATGTTATTATGGTTAAATATGTCATAAGAAGAAAGCAGAAAGCAAACTATTGACAACGTTTCAGTAAAAGGCATTTTACTGAAACATTGTTAAAACCATTGCATTAATAATGGCGTCTCAATTTCCAAAATATGCCAAATAAGATTCTGTACATCTTAGGTCTCTTCCTGTAATTTTTAAAAGCTTTTACTTTTACATGTTTTTGCAAGTATTTCAAAACAGTAGTTGCCAAGTATATTACAGGTAGTCCTCAACTTATAACTTGCCCATTAAAGTCATAAGTGGTTATGTCATTAAGCTAGATGGCCTTGCTTAAAGGCCCCCATCTCCTGCTCTCCCTGATGCAGCCCTTAAACAAACACATGGGTCCTTAAGCAAAGCACAGAGTACCTCGGGGTGAGGAAGGCCTTGTGAGGATTAGTGCAGGGCCAGGCCCACCTGCCCCAGGCCTCCCAAAGCTTCCCTATCCCCTAAGGCACCCCATTCTTCTCTCTTGGCCTGCTCCCAACCTGCCACTCAGTCATCCAAAGCAGGGGTCGCCAACCAGTGGGCTGCGAGAAAATTTTGGTGGGCCGCAGAGAAATCTCAGCCTCAGAGCAACCCCCCAAAGCAATTAATCCAGGCTGTGCAGAAACACAAGGCTGCGCCACCCACATGGCCCGCGGGAACCCTCTCTGCCCACTCACTCCTTATCCTGCAAACTTGCCTGCTGAATTGCTATTTTTCCGACCATCAGCTGTTATGCTGTGCTGGGAGATTTAGATTAGCTAGGAAGCAGGAAATGGTTGGATTTCTTGCATTCTAGCTAGTCTTTAGATCTTCGACTCTGCTTTTAAGCATAGCCGAACCTCCCTTAGGACTGAAGGTTCTATTATTCAGTACAGACTCACGGCAAGCAAATATTATGTGACAGACTGAGCTAGCCAATTTTATTAAATTGGTTTTAATAAATATAGATCTCTGAATGAATCTGTGATTCTGTGAGCAACTCAATCTACCTGCCTGCTTTGCCTGATTTTGGTAAAAGTTGCTCATTTTTAATAAAAAAAATCAATAAATGGTGCATTGTGTTAATTTTGTGAGTTTGCTTGCCAGCAAATTTTATGTGACAGATGGAGCTATGGCAGATAGATCTCTGAATGAATCTGTGATTCTATGAGCAACTCAATCTGCCTGCCTGCTTGGCCTGATTTTGGGTAAAAGTTGCTCGATTTAAAAAAAATTCAATATTTATATAAACATTTATAATATTTACATACAAGCCATGCCCAGCCAGTCACATGACCACCAAGCCACACCCACAAATTAGGCCACACCCACAGAACCAGTTAGTGGTCCCTGGGATTTAAAATTATGAGTTTGGTGGTCCCTGAGGTCCAAAAGGTTGGCGACCCCTGATCCAAAGGAACCTAAAACCAGAAGCTACTGGCATGCAAAGGGCTGTATACAGTTTTTTTTGCTCTCAGCTTCCATCCCACCCAGTCACCAAAGATGAGGTGAAAAAGGAGGGGAAAACATGTAAAAAGTTTCAGAGATAGAAAAATTACATATATTGAATCCTAATATTAATAAAATACTTTGACTCTTCAAATTTAACACATTTAAAGCACATCTTCCCGTAGATTTAAAATACAGTAAAAACATGTGAACAAAAATAAATAATTCCACCATTTACTCGTAGATATTCTTTTTCACACAAAATTGAATCACATATAGAAGCAGCAACAGAATGAGGCAGGGAAAAATAGAAATTATGTTGTTGCTGGACAACAAAATCAGTAGGGGATTCTTGATGTAGTATTCAAAGCCATAGCCAACTGCACAAGTCCCCTGAGCCACAGGTTTAGCAGCAATGTCTTAAAGTAATGTTCCTCTGTTTATTCTGTATTAGTGAAAATAATCTGGGACCAATAACTTACCTTTTATACCTCCAAATGGTCCATGTGTCATGTTATATGCTGTTCGATAAAGATTGTGCTCATACATACGTTTTAGCTGGTATTGGTTGCCATGTTCTGTATTTCCTAAGCTTCCTATTAAATAAAAGAAAGAGCTGCCTTAAGCTTGCAATATTTTCTCTGGAAAATGTTATTATGAAAGATGCTGTAGTATACTTATATTACACTTGAATACAGTTGTCAGAATTCAAGTTTCATTGATTATTATACCATGTGCCCTCCAAAATTCTTTTGACTATACCACAAAACTGAGGGGAAAATTAACCACTTATTAAAAGTAAGTGCAGTACATTTTTCTCACAAACTGAAAGTTTTCAGTTCATTCTCTGTTTGATTCTGATATCAAATAGAGAATACAGATATCTCCATCATACTATTGAAGGAATGACATCATAATCTCCCTAAATTTTGATGAACCGTTAACTCATCATCATCCATAACTTGCTATCTAGGCTCAATAGAGTTTGGTATATAACAAGAGCTGCAAGCTACCTAATTCTTTAGAGGACAAAGAGAAAGGCTTTTGTACTGGGGAGTTTTTAAAATATGAAGGTTCAAAACGTGTTATTCCTCTACAGATCATCACATAGAAAAATCTATTTATGTAGTCATTAAAGGTTGGCAGCAACTTGAGGGCACAATTAAACCAAAACATTATTAGCCTGCAGTACTTCTAAGGTTTATCTTCTTTCTGTATGTACGACCTAGCCCTTTTACTGCTGATGACTGAAAAAATTGCAGCACACTAAGCTAACCTTGGCCCTGATATAATTGCTCATGAACATCTTCAATCAGCTAAGAAAAGATGTTGAGATGCAAGTTTAATATTACAGTATGCTTCTATAAATATACTTTCAATAAGAACTTATATCTTCTGATGTTGTGTTTGCCATTTTCAAAAGCTCCACTTAATGGTTGCATCAGAGCAAGCAAGATGCCTGTTAAACAAGGCGACCACATGGTCACCTTGTTAAATGATAGTTATAACAGGCAACTATAATAGTAGGCTCCATTATGGCCATAAGTCGACAACTACCTGCACTGTGTCAGAAACTTCCTTTTCATTGCCACAAATTAAGGGGAAAACTTTTCTAGAAATACTAGTATATACTATATATATGGTATTCAGCTTTGTTCGGGTATTTTCCCACGTCACTGTAGTTGTGCTTTTAAAGTTGTAGCAACGTTTCGGCAGAATCTCATCTGCCATCATCAGGCTTCTGTATTGTGTTCGTCTGTGAGTCAGACTTTTACAGTGGTTTCAGTTTTAAATTTGGGGCTAGCCTACTGCTGTGCCAGAATGGTTTTTTCTTCATCCTGATTGGTTGGGAGTCTTGGTCTGTGTTTATTGGT